CATCACATTTGTGTTGTCCCCTGCTGCCTTTGTCCACACAGCAGTATAAATGTGAATACCCAAATCAGTGGAGAGACAACAGGAAAATGATGTGGGTCAGAAGGTGCAGGTCATGCAAGTGGAAGGCAGAAGAAGAGGTGAGGCGATGTGGTGCTATCGGACACGGTGGCCCGAGGAACGGAAAGAGAGATGGCGCAGGACAAAGCAGCATGGAGGAGGTTGGTAAGGACAGCGGACCCCACATGAGTGGGACAAACGCGTGGAAGAAAAAGACCCAAATCAGCTGGAATGGCATCGCATTGGGCTGTGGGGACTGGTGGCCAAGTGCCTTCTCCAGTCTACTAGAGACCCGGACTATATATTTGGAGCGCCATGATGGCGAGATGTTAACTATCTCGCCTGGTATACAGGAGGTTGTGGGTTCGATCCCGAGCCTGACACCTGCTGTATATTTTGAGTTTTCATGTCTCGGGGATTTTTCTCCGTTTCCTCCGGTTTTTCCATTCCACATTTAGAATTAACATCAGGCGTTTAAAATTCCAGATAAGCCACTTCGTTGAGCTATCATTTGTGATAGCTAGGTCACTCATGAAGAAGGGCTTTACCTGTATGAGAAAATAAGAATAGGTTTTACCTTTTCTGGAAATAAAACAGGGGTTGAGTTGTTCAAACGCCAAATAGATACATTTTGCAAAGCATCAAGTCTGCATTAACCACACACGGTACTTGTGGCAAAACATGCAAATAAACACGCTCTGATAATATCTGCATTGTTTTTGGAACTTGATTGGCCTACACCAGAGACAGCTTTCTTTTGGGCCTAGTCTCACCACCAGTGTCAGATCAGAGAATGCCAAAAGGCGAACAGCACAAAGGCAATGCACTATCAGAGCATTTATAGCTAGGGGTGTGAGCAGCTACAAAATGGGACCTTTTTTGTCAGTATCAAAATATAAAAAATATAAGGATAGCTTTTACCCCTTGGTATCTTAACGCCTGTTTTATTGCCAGAAAGGGTAAAACATATTCTTATGTTTTCATACTTTGATACTGGCAAACAAAGGTTCAATTTAGGGCTTTAAAAGGTCCCATTTTAGGCTTTACCTAGTGGTAAAAAAAGTAATTCAGAGAGAAATGAAGCTCCCTGTACCTGGCTCCCAGTAATCCCTTGGCGGATGTCGCCCGCCGCTTTTTCAACGACGGAGCCTTCTTCTTCATCGCCGCCGCCGACACCTCGTCGTCTCCATCCTCCTCCACCTCGTCATGCCCGGCCTGATCCCCGTCGTCATCGCTCGACTCCTCGGCTGTGACGACAGAGCGAGTTGGTGACAGGCGCGAGACTTAATCGGCCACCAACACGCACAGTCCACGCACAATGGATTTACAAAATATATCGGTGCAAATAAGTGTAGCTTATACGAGATAACCTTTTGAAATTCCGCCGGATGGAAAACTAATTGTATTTACCCCACTTAAAACCAGGACTAATGTTTTATCATTCACTTAACTTAGGATGGCGAAATAAGTCGTCTACGGCACAACACATTCGCTGATCAAAAGGAAATTATTTGGGTAAGGAAAAACCGGATAACACAACAGTGTGCGTATCTACAACAATTATTGATGGTGTACCGTATTCAGCGAGCAGCGGGTTGAAGTGCCTTTGCATAATTACATTTGATGAAAAAGCAACATCGCCAGGTGGCTCGTTGGAGCTGTCCAATCAGCGCGTTTTACCCGACTCAGCATATTACGGCTTTGACGAATACGACTGACAAGCCAGCCATCTGAAACGCGCTCAGACAAGCATGGGGAAGAGACCGTGCCGGGCGAATGTAAATAAAGTCGGCGCTGCGTGTTATCGTCAGCGAAATTTCGGATTCTTTTCAATTGTGTTGATATAAAAGCTCAAAAGAATGTTTTCTCCAGTACAATGATCGTGATCAGGAATCGGCGTTCTTCTACATGGTCACATCGAGGCCGAACAGAGAGGATTCCGTGTATTGCAGAACAAACGCAAGTTTGAGACATCATCTCGACTTGAAATGCGAGATCTGGCAGGCCACGTTCTGTAGATAGAACGTGGCCGATGATGATCACGATGTACATCCACACACCGCTCACTCGAACTCCCGTTAGATTCAATTGTAATCCCTTCTAGCTATTACCATGCCCGAGCCTGTACCCCCCACAACCTCCCTACCATCCTATACATCGCCTTACCCCGCTGATATCCATAACCCATTGCTATCCCAAACCCCTATACACAGCTCTACCAAGCCCACCACCACCACCAGTGTGAGTCTCACCCGAGGGCACGTAGTCAGAATCATTCTCAGAGCTCAGATCCTCCGAGTCGGACATCCTCTTGCCGTTGCTGCTGCTGCTCCCTCTGCTTACCCTCTCCCCCTCCTTGCTGCTGCTCCTTCGCCTCTTGCGTTCTGTTATCGCTGCTCCTCCTGCCGCTACTGGGTCGACCTCAGCTCACCCTCTCTCTGTGAGTGCGCCTCAACCTCTGCTCCTATTGTCGAACCCTACTGTTGTATCCTATTGTTTAATCCTATTGTTAAACCCTATTGTTTATCCTTTCCAGCGTTGCTTTCCCCGGCCGCTTCGCGTCTAGACGAAGCCTCTCGTGCTAGGCCCCGCCTTGTGCCCTTACGCGAACGCGGCGCGCGTTCCCCCTGCCAACGCATTCGCATACACACAGATCCGTGCGTGACACGAATAAAATAAATACACCAGGTCGCGTTGCCTCGCCGTGTTTCGTACAACGTCGTTTCGCGCCAGGGGTTGCCACTCGTTTGCAACGATTACAATTTTTTATTACTATTTTCACACCTTGGTGAGAGTTTGACAAAGTCCTGCAGTAACCTCTACGAATCCGCTGGCCGCGAATGCCTCGACTGCCGGCACATTCGGGGGGGGGGGAGACGGCACGCGAACTCGAGGGGCACGCCTCTGATTGGTCAACCGCGCCGAGGCGAATTGCGATTGGCTGGCGTAGAGTGCGCGCGGGGTGGGGGCTTAAACCAGAAGAGGGCGGAGTTAGAAGGCGGGGGGCGTGGCCTAATGTAAGGGGGCGGGTTCAGAATCGGTGTGTACAGGCACTCCTCTACTTACGAACGAGTTAGGTTCCAGAGGTCTATTCGTATGTCGATATTTTCGCAAGTCCAACTTTAATCCTGTCGATTCCAAACATGGTGTACGGCATATACACTAAGCACGGGGAATGGCTTTAAAAGTTGTATAATCTCCTGTAGATGTAGATGCCACTGGTTCTTCGTGTTCTGCAGATGTAGATGCAACTGGTTCTTCACGTTCTGCGGATGTAGAATGTAGTTCTGCAGATGTAGAAAAGTAAACAAATCACCCAAACTCATACAACTCAACCATCTCCATCCTACCAGGCAAAGCCCACTGAAGCATTAACCCATTGGTCAAAAGCGACCTGGCCATAAATGATAGCTCAACAAAGGAGTTTATCATGTGGACATTTATACCATTTATACCAGAAAAATATAAACGTGTCGTTAAATCCGCCACCACCCGACGCATGTTTGTCACGTGAACAAAACAATTGCAAATGTTGTGGCTTTACTCTCCAACACACCGGTGTTGTTGTACTAGTAACGAATTGCCACGTTAACGAGACACACCTTACTAATTGGCAGAGGTGGGACAAAGTCATTGTTATGCAAGTCCAAGTCGAGTCTGAAGTCATCAAATTCATGACTCGAGTCTGACTCGAGTCCAAGTCACATGACTCGAGTCCACACCTCAGAGGTGGGACAAAAGTCATTGTTATGCAAGTCCAAGTCGAGTCTGAAGTCATCAAATTCATGACTAGAGTCTGACTCGAGTCCAAGTCACATGACTCGAGTCCACACCTCTGCTAATTGGCTGTGTCGGGTGGTGGTGGGTTTAATGACACATTAATTTTTACGAGATCTAACACAAACACCTCTATTATGTTTTGATTTAAAGCTTTCGTGACTGCAGGGATTCATCTTCTTGGTTTTTTCGGTAAAAGTCACGTAGAAGGGAAATAATAAAATAATAAAAAATTTCACATAATAAAATACAATTCTCACGACGTTTGTATTATGGATATTGGTCGCTAAAGCCTACGTGTTAAACTGTTCACAGTATAATTTTACTTTCAATGTAAATAAGTATTATATCGTCGTTAATTTTTAGTGATTATTTAAGGGGCAATGTGTTACTCAGTAGCTACGATTATGTAATTAATATGCCGATTGGAAAGCGTGGAACTGTAATCGGGAATTATTTTTAAAATTGCAATTCGTATTAGGCCCCATCGTGTTAAGCAGTCCTTCAAGGCTTATCAATTCCATCTGTATATGTATATCTTATCACTAAGGGTCAATGTGCGAAACGTCGCCTATTTTTAAAATATTTTTATATTATAAAACAATGTCCTTTTAAGGACACAGGGCCACATATACACAGTGTGTTGGTGGCGAACGGAGGATGCGTTTGAGAGGGGGGCGGGGCGTCTCTGGGAGAGGGGGCGGGGCGTCTGCAAGGGGCGGGGCGTCTCCGGGAGGGGCGTGGGGGCGGGGCGTCTACAGGAGGGGCGTGGGGAGGGGTGTGGGGGCGGGGCGTCTCTGGGAGAGGGGGCGGAGCGTTTGTAAGGGGTGGGGCGTCTACAGGAGGGGCGGGGGGAAGGGTGGGGGGGCGGGGCGTCTCTGGGAGAGGGGGCGGAGCGTCTGTAAGGGGCGGGGCGTCTCCAGGAGGGGCGTGGGGAGGGGTGGGGGGGGCGGGGCGTCTCCAGGAGGGGCGTGGGGAGGGGTGGGGGGGGCGGGGCGTCTCCAGGAGAGGCGGGGGGAGGGGTGTGGGGGCGGGGCGTCTCGGGGAGGGGGCGTCTCGGGGAGGGGGCGGGGCGTCTCGGGGAGGGGGCGGGGCGTCTCGGGGAGGGGGCGGGGCGTCTCGGGGAGGGGGCGGGGCGTCTTGGGGAGGGGGGGGGGCAGCAGCTTCTTTGCCAGGGCGGCGCCACCTGCACAGGGACCGAACCGGGCAGAAACGAGTCAAGGAGAGGATTGCCAACTGGGGGGGCGGGAGGTGATCGAGGCGGAACGGGCTGCCCCCCCCCACCACTGCTGCTGCCTCCGCCGCTGCTTGCGAGCGGATTACGAGTGACTGGACGGGCGCGGACGGGGGCGGCACGGGCAGGCGAGCCCGAGGTCCCGGCATGAGAGCGAGGGCCGGCTGACGGAGGCCCTTGGCGCCAGGGGCCGGGCGAGGGAGCGGGCTGCTGGGGTCGCGGGCCTTCGGGTACCCGCTGGTCCCCGCTGGTCCCCGCGTGGCCGCGGCCATGGGGGGAGCGTCTTCGTCTCCCGAGAGCGTGCGGGAGGTGCTGTCTCTGCTCGCCCACAATCCGCTCGTCGCCTTCACCGGTATGGGTTCGATCCCTAAACCCTGTCTCACACCCTCCTCGTACAACTACTTACCCCTTCTAACCCCTCCTCCATCATCATCATCAACAGCATCGTCGGGCGCGACAAATCCACTGCTGGATGAATTCCCCCCTCCCCAGTGACCGTCGCGATGTGAAGGGCTATTGGGGCCCTGTTCTAAGTCTGTTGGCCGCGTGTGTGAAGTCTGCGGGGTTCCTATGCGAATTGGCGCTAGAGCCAATTCCATCGCTCCATCTCCACGCTGAATGGGCGCTTTGGGTGGCTTCCATGATTTGGCTGACCGCCCAAACTAACTCGCGGGATCATAACTCTACTTCCTTGACCCCCCTTCTACCTTGAGTGTCAAACCCAGGTGTCTTGATGGCCTTCACGTCAGGTTAAGGGGGTCACTGTGTCCACCGGTTGATTGGGGGGGGGGCACGGAGGTGGCGTGGTTGGGGTCCATGCGCCTGTGGGTCAGAGGGTTGGTGGATTGCGTGAGGATCTGCTTGTTTCTTGGTGCGGAGATGCCAGGAGTTGGCAGATTCAGAAAGTGGATTCGTTAGGCCCGTCCCGTGTATTCGCACAATCCGAGTATTTATTTACACTGCAGGAATACGATGAGATGTAAAGTTAAAATTTTCCCACAGATGTCCATTAGGGGCGGGTCAGAACGTGATAACAAGCATTTTTAAAAATACGATCGGAGTGCAAAGTATAGAACAGGTAAACAAATCGCTTTAAAAATATGCAAATAAAACTAAACTATTTTAGTTTATCTTACCAGGTAAAGCTCACTGAGCTATTCGCTTTTTTTACTCGAGCTACCTGCCACAGCTGATAACTCAACAAAAGTGACTGTCGTTTTAAAGCTTTCGTGACTGCAGGGATTCGTCTTCTTGGTTCTTTCGGTAAAGTCACGTAGAAGGAAAATAATAAAAATAAAACATAATAAAATAATTCTCACGACGTTTCGGCCACAACGCAAGCAGCCGTCTTCAGGGTGGAGAACAGGTCTGTCGAGAAGGCAGAGTCTGAATGTGACTGATCACGTGGACATTCAAAGCAGCCAAATTATCTAAAATACTGAAGCGTTATCTTCAGTGGGACGCTCATTATAATGTGCGGTGTGTGTGTGTGCCACGACTATACTACAACTATACTGCCTGGTGTGTGTGGGTGTGCCATGCCGTTGTGATGTGCGTAGGAGGTGTGATGTGCCATTGGGGAGCGGTGTATGTACAGTATGTTGAACTTCTTTTGCACCGCACGTAGTCAAGCGTGCTAATCGGATTTTTTGATGTGTGTGTTTGCGTAGCACCTGTGCATTGTACAGTGCCTCTACGGTGTTCAGGCTTGTATATATGATGTGTCAATTTGATTGTCTGGTGGTGTGACGACAGCTAACATCAGTGGCGAGTGATGTATAAAAACCGGCCTCCCCTAGGTGGACTCAGCCTTGTGGACTCAGTACTGAGGAGACAAAGGCGACCGTGTGTGGTATTAGCCTCTCCCACCCCCTCATGTGCCATTCCGGCCTTCATAAGTGCTCCCTTACAGCACTTCCCCATGCAGTCTGTTAAAGGCTTCACTGGGGTATGTGTGTGTGTGTGGCATCTGAATATTGTGCCACGGGTGTTTGGTGTGCAGGGGTCAGATGTGGAGTGGCATGAGTTGTACCAGTGTGGTGCTTGGTATGTGTAACGTTAGGGTGATGTGTCGTTGTGTGCAAGGCGGTTGACTCACACAGACCCACAGGCTCACATAGAGAGAGACCTGTGACTGACTTCCTCTTTCTATACAATTCATATTACCACTAATCTTATCAGCACAGGTCTTGAGTTGCAGTTGCATTTATACCTGACATACATCCACATTGTTTCTCTCTATACGCATGAACAGTAGAGTTTAACATTCTATAAGTCTACGGGTATCTACGTAAATCTGTGCTTATATATGTTCACTGGACATCGGATTTTTTTTTCAAGGATAAATACAGATTCTGATTCTATTATTTAAGCCCTGGGTCAAGACCTTCCTCTTCCCCTCTGTCCATGACTGATTACCTCTGTCTCGCTCTAAATTACATATGCCCAGTGTTCCTATATATATCCTTGCCCTGTGATGCAGTCGCCTTTAGCTGCATTATAAATTCACGTTTATTGTATAGACTCTGTGAGATCAGGGACTTGCACAGTGACCTAGAAACTCACACATAGGCTCATATACTCAAGGCTCCATAGACTCACACAGACACCCATAGACTTAACACAGAGAGCAAGAGACTCGCACAGATAGACCCATAGACTCGCACAGAGAGACCCATAGACTCGCACAGAGAGACCCATAGACTGCAAATAGACCCATAGACTCAAACTGAGACCAGTAGACTCCCACAGAGATGGAGACTCGTAGATCATCAGCTGTAGGCCCTTATTACTGCCTCTTTATCAACATCACCTTCTATTAGCACGATTGGCTACATATGGTGGGACAGAAGTTTAACATGCATACATACATCACCAATCAAATGGAATAAGGTCTTCCCAAATCGTCTTCCAAAGCCGAAATAGCTACTCTATAAAATAAATGTAAACACTGCTTTCGTACTTTGTATGGAGTTGCAGTTGTATTTAGATCCTACGTATGATTCCACATTGGACTCCCATAGAGACTCATACAATTCACAGGGTTGCTTTGTGAGTGTTAAGGCTCACGGTTTCTGTACAGCATCTTGGGATTTGGTCGCATTTAGACCCCTGTGCAAATCCACATTGCAATTGTCTGGTTTATACATTCCTTGACCTCACCTGCTGTGACCATCTCCCTCTCGCCCTTGCCCACAGAGATGTGGTACTGGGTCTTCCTGTGGGCACTCTTCTCCTCCATCTTCGTCCACGGTTCCACGGCGCTCCTCGCCTTCGTGTCACTGCGGCGCCACCGCAAGGCACGGTTCTTCTCGGTGGCCATCGCCGTCATGGGCGTGCTGGCTCCCATCACCGGCGGCATCATTACCAGTGAGTGTGACCCCTTGACCCCTCCCACCGAGCCCCCCCCCTAGCCCCCCCCCAAAGCCCCCCCCCAATCGTGCGCTCGCCCCATATGATTTGTTGCTAAGGGCCTCGGCTGCCTTGGCTGTTGTCTCTGGGAATTGTTGGTGCTGCCTTAGGTCACCTGAGGTGGTGAGATGTTATCTGCATTGCTTGGTATGCAGGAGGCCGTGAGTTGGATCCCGATTCTGTCGCCTGCTGTATATTTGGAGTTTGTGTGTTTTCTCTCTCTCCCCGTGATCATGTGAATTGTTCCCTGGGTTCTCGGGTTTTTCTCTCCACATTTAGAAACACGTGTTGAAAGTATTTGGTTGTGATACATTTCCACGTGATAAGCCACTTCGTTGAGCTATCATTTGTGGCCTGGTCACCTGGGAAAAAGAGCTATATAGGTCAGTTGGCTTTACCTGGTAGAAGAGTTTTTTTTAAATAATTGGAATAGTTTAAGTTCAAGTTTGACATCCGTAATAAACACCTCATTGGAGACCCACACCTCATTGGAGACCCACACATCACATACTCCTGGCTTTGATATCCCTCAAAGACACTGGTATAACCATCAACCACAGGAGTGCATCAACTGGCCAATGCGCACATCTCCGTTGTTGGTGGAAAGTGAAGACACAAGCCACAGTATTGCGATTGTGGCCATGCCACCCAAACTATGGGCTGTACAGTAAATCACGGTAGGCTGTGCTCCTCAACGGAGGAAAGGCCTTTAGTTCCCGTACATATTGCCATACACAAGGATAAAATAGTTCCAAGTTTCGAGTTTATTTTGTTCAACCGTGTGAGGACTCAAGAGACCAAGAGAGTCTCATTTGCATGAGGGACCTGAGACCAATGCCCCTGGATGCCCCTGGATGCCCCCGGCTGCCCTGGGTGCCCCTGGCTGGCCGAGCTGCTCCTGGCTGCCTCTGGCTGCTCATTGTTGTTGGTCCTCGTCCACCGTTGCGTCGTCCCCTGGCCGTACCATGGTGTCGCTCTCTCCTCCCTACCGTATTTCTCGTAACACGCTAATTTTGGCATGAGTCATTGTTAAAAAAAATGTCCAAGCCAAATTTTCTTCGTGGAAATGTGCTTTTTATTGAATATTGATTATGTTTGTGCACTGTTTTTAATTTCTTCTGAAGCGTGATTGTTTTTGCCCTGATTTCTATTTGCTTTTTTGTTGTACTTTTTATTTTATTGCTTTCATCAATTTTGGTGACCCGGGAACACTCATCCTTGTCTCTTGAGTTCCCACCCAGTTAAACTAACTGAAACTAACTCGCTGTAATCACCACTGTATTTTGGCCAGACATTCACGTCTCCCCGCGTTGACCTTTGGTATCTTTCTTCCGCTCAGTCTCACCGGTAATGCAGACTGGTCTCCAAGCCATCTCGTCTGATCATGCGGCCCACAAAAATGTCGCCTTCCTTATCGCTGTAACGTTTTATAATTTAACAACCTTAAAGGTCATATCAACATTTTATGGCCGATGCTTTCAAAATGTAGTCCACAGTCCGGATTTTTTTTTTGCATTTACCATTCATTTACATTTACACGTAAACTGGAGGTTTCAATCGCGTGGCTGCTGCAGCACATTGTCATAATCGGTCATGATTACCCAACAGTTGTGTTGTCTATTGCCTCCGACATGACATTAGGTGCTGTTTGTGCTTGTGCTCGGCATGTAACGACGCATCGATTTATCGATTACAATTTTATTCTCACACTCATGATACAAGCATCTGATCATAGATGTTGCGAGGATAGGTTATGTTTTATTTGTGAAGCCTGTGTGAGGGTGATAATACGAATGTAACATTCATGATAATGGTGTAAACAAAACTGGACAAAATAGATGGAAACAAATGTACATGAGACAGGTTCACAAATAACCGGTTTTCGAATCCAATCGTGATCTAAAATTTTGGCACTCCGTCGAATCACTGGAGGGGCGAATGGCTACAAGCCTAATTGGTTACGATCCATTGATGCCTCCTTTGTTGGGGATATTTTATCTCTTGGTGCCTGTGCAACGGTTATAAATAAATGTGTTCATTTAATGACTGGTTATTCTCAGCTTTCATTTTGATGGCAGAATTTCAAAAGCAGGACCGGACTTCAGAGTGGGGCTCATCGTGGATTACGTTGAGTCGTTTCGCCTCCCCATGCTGTTTGTGGTTTTTTTTGCTGCGGTGGCCGAGATGTTAACTACCTCGCCTGGTATACAGGAGGTCGCGGGTTTCACCCCGAGCCTGACGCCTGTACATTTGGAGTTTGCATGTTCTCCATGTGGTTATGTGGATTTTCTGCGGGTCTTCGGTTTTTCCCCTCCACATTGAGAATCAACATGGCTGCTATAAACTTCCACATGATAAGCCACTACTACTACTTCGTTGAGCTGCCATTTGTGATAGCCAGGTCGCATCTGAAAAATAGCTACACAGCTCAGTGAGGCCTTACCTGGTAAAATAAAAAAAATAGTTTAGTTTGTAGTTTTCATTAAATTAATAAAGATTTTGCTTCAACCAGAGTGACGGAGAAGACGGTGTCTGCTGATGACACTTAACGTTACAGATGCCGACGATGCCGATGATGCACAATGTGAAGGCATTGTTCACGCCATGTCGTTCTCCTATGCGTTTTTCGAGTCATACCGGCACGACGTCCGACGTTTAGTTCCACGTGCCAGCAGCAGCTTCCTCGAGGAACTGAAATTGAGCTGAATCGAGCTTCGGTTTCTTCAGCTCCCACCACGCGAGAGCGAGACGTCAGACATCGTGCTGAGGTGGCGCGTGCGGACAAAAAAAAACCGAACACGCGCACGGGAGAGCTGCGCCGCTATTAAGCTGCGGGAGACGCCGGGAGGCTCACCCTGATTGACGCCGAATTGCTCTCGGCTCCCGGCTCTGGCAAGGTGCCAGGGTGTTTTGGCGACACGAGCCCCGTGAATTGCCGAGTCGGTGATCTGCGCGACCGAGATGCATCAAGCACGCCACACGCTCTGTACTTTGCACTGCCTTGCAGCAGCAACTTTTACCCATTACCGGCTGCTGTGAATGGGGGTTGTAAAGGCCAGATGGGGAAGCGTCATAAACTGGATAGGCCGCAACGTACGTTGCACAGGAGGAGAGATGCAGACGATTTGTGTGGAGGGGGGAGGGTAGAGCACACGGCAGCCGATTGAACGGCCGCCCAATTTAAACACTAACCACTGAGACAATGGAATCGCTCATACTCAACCTAAACAACCAGTCAACCAGACACTTAATAGTAGCTCTACTCTTACACCTAACCTTCTTTCCAGGCAGACACGAATACTTGCCCTCCGTGCCGCTAACTGCCAACCACCTAGCCAAGCTGACACTTAACCAACCAGCAAGTAGTTCCTGCCCTACCCTTACCCCCTAACCGATTTAATAAACCAGGCACGAGCACCAGCCCTGCTGCTGCTGAACCCGATAACCATATAAACGCCCCCCCCCCCCCCTTTCAATTAAAATGTTTTTTTTCCTTTCAGTTTGGCTTTCACAGCGCAATTGTTCATCACAGTAGTCGAGGTGCAATCTGGGTACTCATTCTGCTTTGGAGAAACCAATTAAAGTTAATTCATTATTTACAACCCCCACCCCCCCCCCCCCCCCAAATATTTTTTAAAAGTTTAATTAAGGGTCCGGATGGAGCCCAGCATGTCGCCCGCCGGCACAGTGTAAATCCAAGGGAGGGGGGGGGATGGTAGGCGATGGAGGCGGAGATGTGATGGGGGTGATCACCCTCCCTCTTGAGAGCATGTAAATGTGTATTTTATTGCTGTTGACTGAAAAATATATGTTGTTGGGGGGGGGGGGGGTTATCAATGTGAAGGGCCATATTTAAAAAACGCGCAACATTTCGGGATTACCTCCCTTGGGAAGTTTCTAGATCAGCCTCGGTGTCGATGGCGGGAGTCTGAGGCATCCGTTTACTGTGGATGTCTTTGGACCCAAGTTGAGAGCGCAAGGTCAGACAAAGTCATCCGGAGCCCGATGAGGCAACGAACGACACTGTCTGAATTTTAATCTGCCACCTCTGCTTACCCCAACAATACTTGTGCAACTTCCAAAGATCGTAAAAACTGAGAAACAACGAGCTGGCGACGCACCAAGAGCTAACCAATTGAGCGTTGAGCGGCAGCGTGCGACGACGCTGTGCTACGTGTGTCGGCAAGGCAGAGCAGGGGTTAAAGGTTGCTGGTGGCATGAAATGTGTGTTTGGCCTGCTCTCTATTATCGTTTACTGATGTTGGCAATGTACGTACCGCCCTTCGTCAATCCACTGCTGGATGGAGGCCTGTTGGTCGTGGGCAGGGGTCGGCAACCAAAATAACAAGAGACAATTTTTTTTTATTGCATAACGCGGTAGTTGCGTTCCTGAAGAACACCGCATTATGGAAAAAGCACGTTATAATAAATAACATATAATATGGGGCAAACTACAGCCCGTGATTACACGGGAGATGTGCACGCAGGCTGAACAAAGCCACAGGCGCGTGGGTAGCGTCTAGAAGCATCCAGCAGCATCCCACTGCCTGTGCGATGCTACGCAGAGGCAGCCCTACCACCGCTTATTGCTACTCGCGCGGCGCAATTCTGTTCACACTCAATCGCGTTATATCCAATTCGTTCCCTCATACATTCATCGTGTTATATCCAATTCGCGTTGTGATATCACGCGGCGTTATAGGGGAACAGTGTGTACTTCATCACTGGCCAGTGCCGGTCAGTGAGAGGGGGACCCAGGACGGTTTAGATATCGCTCGACACTCATGTGAGCCATGGTTCGCATCGAACTCGGGTTCCCACAGTTGTAGTTCAGAGCACAAATCGTTGTGCTACAGCTCCCCACTGACATTAGAAATGCTTTTTTTTTACAGGAATTGCCGCATTGAGTACCAAAACTTTTTTCCAGGAGAGTCCAATTCTTATAAAAAAAATTATGAACGGTGTTTTTTTGCATGCGGGAGAAAACTATAATATCCAGAGAAAACCTTGCTTACGCGAGGCTAGACCTCGAAGGTCCCACCGATGGGGTCATGAACCTACTTACCCCATACTGTGAGCTCATGGCTGAGGGCCGTTGGAAGAGTTTCACAAATCTTCCAAAAGATATACGAACCTTTTCCTCCAAAGCATCGGCCCACGGCCGCCTGCTACCGCTGTTCTCTCCGCCCTTCCCCCCTTCCCCCCTTCCCCCCCCCTCTCCCATGCCCCCCCCCCCGCCAGGTGCCGCGGTAGCCGGCGTTTACCGCGCCGCCGGCAAGACGATGCTTCCGCTGGAGGCGTTGGTGTTTGGCTCGGGGCAGACGGTCATCACCGTCATCATATCCGCCGCGCGCCTCCTCGCCAGCCTCTGATCGCCGGCCTAGGATCCTCCCACGTCGTTCTCCTAGAGCCAGACCGAGATGGAGGCAGCAGCGGAGCGGCCGGTTCGACGCCAGGATGAACCGACGGACGGACGGACACCGCGTGCGCACGTTTGCTGGCGCTCGTTCCGCCGACGTGGAATTGAGCTGGCTGGGAGCGGAGTTCCAGACGGCGCGGATGAAAGCCAAAGTTCGCTCTGCTGGGATTTGAGGCCCGTCTGCGGGGCTGCGAACTCTCCGTTATGTTGGCGAAAGCGATTTATTACCGCCGCGGGTCATTCCTGGCGGTGATGCGCTTTGCAGTTTAAAAAATGGAAACAATTGCGAACGGCGTCGACCGCGTGGAGGCGCTGCCAACGACGTTTTGCCCGTCTCGTGATGCAACTGGCCTGGCCTTCCAGCGCGTACGTGCATGGTGTGTGCGAGTGCATGATTCGTGTGTTTTGCGTACGCGCGAGTGTTACACGCGTGTGTGCACTCGCGTGTGCACAAGCGGTGGATGTGACGCCGGCAGATTTCGCGCATGTGTGCCGTGTGCATGATTTGTGTGCGCGTGTGCACGGGTGTGTGGTGTGCGTGTAAGTGGCGTGGTACTGTATGCGGTGTGGTGCGAGTGTGCAGCTATGTCTGGTGTGCAGTCGTGTTCGGTGCCCGAGTGTGCAGCTTCATGTCCTGGTTGTGCAGCATCGTGTTCCGGTAACGTCTCCCCCCTGTGGTCGGCAAACCTGCACAGCGAGCCCTTGACCACAGTGGAGAAAGACCGTCGGGCATGTGATATTGCATCGATTCGTCGATTAAACGATCGATTCTGATGCGAATACATGCAAAGCAATACGTGTAAAACAGCATAGTTTACAACCTGGCGCATATTACGTGCAAATCACGTGCCCGTATTAACATTTGAGGCTAGCGGAGCGAACAAAGCTGTACAAATCAAACGGAACGAGCTAGGAACAATAGAGGCGAGACGTTAAAACGGAGGCCAAAAGAATTGCATCCAATCGCAATCCTGAAACATGACAATTCATCGAATCGCTCGGTAGGTGAATCGCCACGTGCCTTGGAGTGACGCAGCGAGACACGCAGAGTTTATCAAGCGTTTATAAATTACACAGTACCTCGGGGACCAGGGTTCTTCAACTTTCATTACCAGCGGGCCGCATAACAACATTGTCATGTCATGGGGTGCCCCGTGCCGTCACACCTCAAGTACTGTATAAATGTTATGGCGTCACACTTGTCAGTGTGACGTCATAACACTTGGCAGTGTGACGTCATTAAAGTCTGTACGTACGACCGCTAATCTGTATTTCTTGTCTCCAGGTCTCTTCTCTTATTTATCTCACTTTAACCTCAGAAATGTTTACCTCTCATCTTCAGGTCTCTCATCTCTCTGCCGTCTACAACTTGGCTCCATGCCTTGTTTATCTCCCTCTCGTTTCGATAATCAGCTGGCCATAGCTTGGCGCCACTCTTGAGAGCTTTTTCCTGGCCACATTGTGCCCTGTGGACAGAGCCGGCCCTAGACCTTTGGGGGCCCTAAGCAAAATTTGGTTGAAGGCCCCTTTGATGTATGATTTTTTTCACCCACTAGCTAGCAGTGACTCTAGGGGGCCCTTTGCTGGCCACGGGACCCTTTGCAATTGCAAGGGTCGCTTAGTGGCTGGGCCGGCTCTGCCTGTGGAGGCCACCAGTTGAAGAACCCTGATGTAGAGCGAGCGCTGGGTTTCCCACCAACCCTTCCAGCGCTTCCCACAGGTGTCCGCGCGGCACTCGGGACGCTGATTCCTTCCCACGGTACGATATAGCACCGACCCAGCCGATTGACGCTCGTTGCCTTCGCACTGTGAGAAGGTTTCGGTCGCCGCTGCTCACCAGCCGGCCGCTAGCCCATGACAAGAATGGTGGGTCTCGTGAGCACGAGATGCAAAGGTGGCTTCTCGCAGAAGTAGAAACCTCCGATTACTGTGGGTCGCTTGGCTTAGTGAGTTCCCCCCCCCCCCCCGCCCTGCACCTCCCTGAGTGAATTAGAGTTGGGTTGAGCCATTTCTGCTGTGTAAGTTCACCAAATCAAATTTGTATATGAAATATTACGTAATATACATGCCCCATCAGCAATCATTTTTTTGCGCTGTCCTCAAAATATTCCAAGGTCGCCTCCCAGATTTTAATGACAATCCAAACACTCCCAGAATTCCGTGTTTACCAATTTCCAGTCGTCACTGAATGGAAGTGCTAATGGGCAGAATTGGTGAACGTCGCAACCCAGGTTGTGGAGTCATGACAGCAGTATTTAAATTTCTGCGATCGCCACGGACCCTTGGCAATCTGACCCCCTCCTCCGCCCCTCTTGTCACCTCGGACTAAAACTAAACTATTTTTATTTTAACAGGCAAGGCCCACTGAGCGACATAGCTCTTTTTCAGAAGGCTATCACAAATGATAGCTCAGCCAAGTGGCTTATCGCTTGGACGTTGATCGCAGCCAAATACTCTGAACGCAAGTTGATTCTAAATGTGAAGGGGAAAACCGGAGTGCCCGGAGAAAAATCCACGCGGCCACGGGGAGAGCATGCGAACTCTAATTATACAGGTGCTAGGGTTGAGATCAAACCCACGACCTCCTGTATACCAGGCGAGGCAGATAACATCTCGCCACCAGGGCCACCAACTTGCGCCCTTCCCCCGGTGCTTGGCAACCACCAGTCCGTCGGCCCTGGTCTCGTTCAACTCGGTTCTCTGGGCCCGCATCGGATCCCTCGTGCGGTTATTGAAATGGCAATGTCACACCGGAAATAGGGAGGGAAGGAAAAAAAAGAGGAGGGAAAATTAAGGCCATAAATAGTAAGGGCCGATGCGGTTGCCAAGGGAGAGTGTGGATGTTTTGGCAGATGTTGTTTGAGAGTTAATTTACTGTGAGATGGATAGCAAGTGTGTATGTGTGACATATATGCGCGGCAAATGTTGTCCCGTGG